GGAGGCCGAGAACGGGAAGCTGGCGGAGGACCTCGCAGGAAGGAGGCCGAGAACGAGAAGCTGGCGGAGGACCTCGCAGAGAAGGAGGCCGAGAACGGGAAGCTGGCGGAGGACCTCGCAGAGAAGGAGGCCGAGAATGAGAAGCTGGCGGAGGACCTCGCAGGGGAAGGAGGCCGAGAACGAGAGCTGGCGGAGGACCTCGCAGAGAAGGAGGTCGAGTCTGAGCGGCTTACAGCGAGTCTGGCTGTGGCTCGAAAATCTCTTGAAGAGGCGTTGCAGAGTGTGGCTAATGCTGATGCAAAGGATACTGAAGTGAGCGATCTGCGTCTAAAGGTGAGTGATTTGGAGGAAGTTGTGGAGGCCAAAAATGCTCATTTACAGGCTTTGAATGAGCGTCTTGAGGCGCTGGTGAAGGAGCTCAGCGAGAAGCGAGAGGAACTGATTCAAGTGATTGGCCATTTGGATGGCTTTGTGACAAAGCTAGAGAAAGCGCGTGAGGGGGAGAAAGTGGCTGTGGAGAGGCTTGCTGCGCGGGATCAGGAGCTCTTTGAACTGGAAAGCATGCATAGGAAGCTTCAGTCAGACCATGAGCGAATTGTGTCGCTGCTGCAGGAGCAGGTGGAGCAGCTTCGTGTGCAGCAGTCTGAGGCTGCCACGTCGTGTGAGGGATTGAAATCCAACGTCAGCGTCCTTCGCAAAGCGCTGCAAGAGGTGCAGGCAGCTTCAGCGGATAAGAACGACGAGATAACTCGTCTTAGGGAGGAGTTATTTTCCCAGCAGGAGGAGGCGCAGGCGCTGCTTGACAAGGTGGCGGACGAGCGGGATCAGAAGTCGCTGGAAGTGAGTGATTCACTAACGAAGCTCGAGGAGTTCGTTGAACTTATGCAGGATCTTCGCAAGTCCGAGGAGGATGCGCTGCAGAGGAGCGCCGATGCGGAGCGGTCACTCGCCGGGGTTCAGGAAGAATTGGAGCGGGTTCGCGCGCGGGAGGCGAAACAGTGGGTTGGAGCCAAGGACGAGTCGGAGGTGGGCGCATTTCGTGCCGCATCTGATGCGGCGTGCGACGCGCGCGAACACGCGGAGGAGAACAGGAATTTGAAGTTGTGTGTGAATCTGCTGATGGACGCCCTTTCAAAGAATCATAGCACCTTCGCTGCTTCGTTGGGTGTGTTCGAAGACGTCTGCGGCACACTGACAAAAATGCAGGACGAATGAGAGCGCCGAGGCGCTCGAGAAGAAAACTGTTTTTTTTTTCTTACAAAAGGGTTTTAAAAAAAGGATACAACATTCCGTTTGTTGGGTTGGTTTTCTCAGCTATTTTTGTTGTCGTGGCTCTGTGTGTGTGTGTGTGTGTGTCTGCTCTGGCTGTGTGTTCGGTGCGGGTTTGTTTGAAAACAAGTGCGTGTTATTACGGGCTCAATGGTGTCTCCGGCTGGTGATGGTCATCGATGGTTTTTTTTCTGTTTTCTGTTTGCCTGCTTTCGTAAAAGTCCTGTCGCTGCCTTGGTGATGAAATGTGACTGCGGTGACACTTCTACCCGCCCCTGCTTTGCTTTTCTCCTGCTTTGCTTTTCTCCTGCAGTGCTGGGCAGCAAGGAAGGCTCCCTGAGGGCACCCCCCGCCTCCACCCGCGCGCGCGCGTCGTCTGTCGTCATGTCCTCCGGGACAATCACGCTGTTTCAGGGCAAATTCAGGCTTGACCGTCTCCTGGGCAAAGGTGGCTTCGGTGAGGTGTACGCCGGGGTGCAGGTCTCCACCGGCGAGCCGATCGCGGTGAAGCTGGAGCGGAACCGGGGACGCTGCTTCCTCTTTCACGAGGCGCGCGTGATGCAGGACATACAGAATTCTGTGCCAGACCGCACCACACTTGGAATCCCGGAACTCAAGTACTTTGGTCAGGAAGGAGACTTTAGGATTCTCATCATGTCGCTGCTGGGGCCGTCGCTGGAGGACCTTCACGCCAAGCTGGGACGGTTCTCACTCAAGACAACCGTGATGCTCGCGGATGAAATGCTTTCACGGCTGGAGTTTATCCACTCCGTCGGGTACGTGCACCGAGACTTAAAGCCAGACAACTACCTCTTGGGCGTGGGCAGAAACGCGCGCCACCTCTACCTGATCGATCTGGGACTCAGCGTGCGCTATCGCTCCTCCAACGGCGAGCATCGTGAGATGGCCACAGGAAAGAGTTTTGTTGGCACCTCACGCTACGCCTCCTTGCGCACGCACAAGGGTTTCTCGCAGAGCCGCCGCGACGACATGGAGCAGCTCTCATATATTCTTATCTACCTCTATCGCGGGCACCTCCCGTGGTCTGGACTTCGCATGAAGGACCGTGAAGCAAAGGAAAAGGCTATTGGGGAGATCAAGCAAAAGCTGACGACCGCGCAGATCTGTTCCAGGTGTCCCGCGCAGTTTGAGGACCTGCTGGTCTACTCGCGCAAGCTGGAGTTTACGGAGAGTCCACAGTATGAGATGTGTCGAATTCTCATTGCGTCGGTCCTTGACACCATTGGACCGAATGTACAGCACGATTTCCAGTATGACTGGGTGGCCGCAAGGAAGAGAGACTCCCCTCCTCCATCTATTCCTAACGAGCGAAGGGCAACGGATAACAAGGCCAACCCCAAGAAAGGAAACGAGCACGGGGAGAAGGACCCAACGAAGATGGGTTCAAAATTGTTGTGCTTCTTCCCTGGACTCTCTTCAAGTGCGGCGCAGGACCTTGTCTTGGTGAACGAAAAATGAACTATGTATTTTTATGTTTTCTTTGCCTGGTTGGGAACTCTATATATATACTTCCATAGAATTTTTGCTGCTAATGGGGGCCGATGTTTTTTTTTTTTTGCGTTTCTCTTGCCATTGGCATTTGGTTTTGCTTTTGTTTTTTTTATTCCTCTCGTTGGCTTGCTTCTAGTAGGCAAGTCTAGCCCGTTCGCGTTGGCTTGTTTTGACGGTTTCTAGTGTCTGAGTGTGTGTCGCCTTCGTATGGTTCGTTTTTTCTTTCTTTTTTTTTCTTCTTTTTGTTTTCTCGCGATGCCCCCGCGCGTTCGGCCTTCGCCTCCCCCCGTCCCAAAAGTTATACCCAACACTCCCTCCCCCCGGGCGCCGCACAGGCGTGCATGTACATCGTTTGCCCCCCTGGTGGAAATGTGAAGTTGTGTGTTGTTTTTCTTTTTCTATAGTTTCGTTGGGATTTGCGTTTTTTTCTTTGGCGGAGCTTTTTCTCCACACAACCGCCCCCGCCACCATTTTTTTTTTGCCTTATTTTCTTTTCTTTTCTTTTTTTTTTACTTCGGCGGCGTGTGTGTGTTACATGCGCTCTGGCGTGTGAACTTTATGCGTCTGTGGGTGCGTTGCTCTTTCTTTTTTTAACTCCCCCACCCCTCTTTTTGTCTGTCTGTCTGTCGGTGCCTGTGTGCGTGTGTCTTTTGCCCGTCGTTTTTTTTTTATTTTCCCTGCTTTTACGGTGCGCATTGGGCGTTGGGGCATTATAAGCCGCCCCTCGCCTCCGCGTTCCCCTCTGCGGGGCCGCATTCGACTGACTCCTCCCACGCCTCGCTTCATGCGCGGTTTTCGATGTATTTTTTTTCGTTTTTTTTTTATTTTGCCGAAGTCTCTCTCTTTCTCTGCGTGTGCGCGGGGGGCGGCACTTGCCCGCATCTCCTCGCCGCCCTTTTTTTTGTGTGTGTGTTTGAGAGCCGGCGGCCGCGGCAGGCGCGGGGCGGAGGGAGGGGGCGGAGGCGCCAGCGCGCGCACGCACACCTCCGTCGCAGGCGCCCGCTTGTCGAAATTGTCTCGGCCTTCTTGCGACTACTGTGCGTGTTTTGTTTTTTTTGTTTTGATTTGTCTGCTTCTCTTTGCCCGCCGCCGCCGCCGCCATGCGCCTGCACTTCTTCTTCTGCCTTGCTTTTTTCCCTCCCGTTTTCCCCCTTCGCCCGACGCAACGACAAAAGAAACACATGCGCCTCGACGGCGAGGGCGCTCGAGTTATGCCGCAGCCCGCCGCCTCGCGTCCGCCGGGTCCCAACAACTTCCGCCTGTTGTTCCCCGCCGCCGTCGCCGCGCGCCGGCGTTCCGGGGCCCGGCAGCTGCCGCGGGCGGGCGGAGGCCCGAAAAAAAACAAACAAACGAGGAGGGACTTCATCGGCCACGGCGCCTCTCAACAGCCACGGCGCTTTTAAACACAGGGCGGGGTGTTGCGGCGACGGTGGCGGCGCCGCGGAGGCAGAAAAGGAAAAGCCGGGGACAGTTGAAGCCGCATACCCAACCGCCCAACCGGCAGATGCGGCGGCCCGTCCGATGCGGCCTATTCGCGTCGCAAATTTATGAGCAATCACCGCCGCCGAAGCCGAGATGAAATCAAGAAAAAAAAACGCCCCCGCGCCGCACGAAGAGCTGCTGTGTGAAGAGCGCTGGTTTTGTTGGCTTTATTTTTTTTTTTCATGTGCTTTTCTGCTTCCTTTTCCCTGCTCTTGCGCTTGGATGGCTTGTTTTTTCATTTCTCCGAACGGGGTGCCCTCCCGTTTGGGGACGACGCGCCGAAACGCCCAGCGTCCAACCGCGCGTGGCGATCACGTTCTTCCCAAGCAATGGGTCCACCGCCGCGCCGCGCCGCGCCGAAAACCGCACCTCAGCGTGCAATCGCGCGGTCCCTGCGACCCTCGGCCGCGCGGCTTTCCGCCCCGCAGGCAAAGGCGGCGAGCCACGGCGCACTACTTCTCCCATTGCGTTTTTTTTCCTGCAGCCGGAATTCGCACAGCCGCTCGCGGCGCCGCCATCGTCAGGCGAAGGCCCCGCCGCCGCCCCCGGGCCCCCAGCAACGCATTCCTGCCTGTCCGCCCGCCCGCCTCGCTTCGGAGGCGCGCGCACACACATACACACACACAGCCTCAAGCGGTGTGGTTGGCGGCCGGCCGGTGGGTACGGCACGGGCGCCCGGCCTTCAGGGAAGCGGGGCCGCCGCCGCCGCAAAGCAAAAAAAAAAAAACAATTGGATTCCCAACACGCAAGAAAGGATAAAAAGATGCTTTAGCTGTTTGTCTCTTCTTCGGCTGCGCGGGGCCGCTCGCTGCCCTGCGCGGTGGGAACATAAGGAGTACCTGGCCGCATCGCCGCTTTTGTATCTCGCGATGGCCGCGGGCTCGTGCCTCATTCGGGCGGTCCGCGCGGCGCGGCGCCGAAAGGCCGGTACCGCGCGCCCGGGCGGCGGCAGCAAACAGTGGCGGGGCCGCCGCCCACAGGGGCCCGCATGGGGTAGCGAAGCGGAGACGCAAAAGAAAAAAAAAGAGAACGCCCCTAAGGAGCACAGAAGTGAGAGAGGCGTTGGCCCACAGGGACGGAAAGCGAACCGAGCGCACAGCACGAGCCACATCCCTGCCAGAGAGTGTGCGCGCGGCTGCCCCCCACCGCCGCCCCGCAGCGCAGGCAAAGGCAGCCGCGAGGAGAAACAGCCGCAGAGGCGCACGCACAAGCAGAGCGCTGGTGGAAGTGCTGTCCGCAAAATGGGCCACAGTTTTCCGAGTGGTGTTGCTATTGCTGTTTGTGGC